TTAAGAAAGTGAGTGTACACGATGAACAAGTTATAATTAACCGGAGGCGAAGATTAATTACTAGCTATTTCCCTTTAAGTCCTATATTAGTTAAAGTTTGCCTATGTTTCATGTAATATAAAGTATGAAGATAAAGCACATAATCTAATATATGAGTGTTGAATACATGATGATAAGACAACAAAGGCACTAAGAAAAAATAATGAAGGCAGTAAACCAATCTATGGAAATAATGAACAATAACGAAAGAAGTAGGGAGAGAAGACTGGACTCTGATGATTGGGCCTCAATAAGGCAGGCCTAACAATTTGAGAGGTTCGGCTATAGCAGACTGGACTCTTCAATGAAGCAGCAATGCTGGTTTGGGCCTGAGTCCCTTAGGAACTCAACATGCCCAAATGTATAGATGCCCAAAAGAATAAGAGAAGGTCATTAGAAGTTTATTCCACATTCTCAACATATTCAAAATATTTATGACATGTACATTAAACTAACAATTGGAATAAGAAAATAATCAATACCGTGGGAAATTATCTTAATGTGGTGGTTCTACTTAGCAAATAATTCACATTGAAAACCTTTCGTTGTCATTAAATATTAAACCCCCAAAGAACTAAATGCGTCAATTAATTAAGGGCTAAGGAGGAAGCACCACCCAAGGTCGATGCATGTTTTCCTTACAAGTTTAAATGCCAATGAGGCCCTTTCAATGTAAGCTAAATGCTATAGCATAGCCTACCACAAAATATATATACTTTCCCTCCTAGCATAAGAACATATAGTCTATACTGGATTACCAAACAAACATATATCACATGAATTCTAAAGATCTGATTCTGAAACATATACACGTGAGCATCATAAGCACATTACAAAGGTCTAAATTTTAGTGTAGAGTAATATTCCAAGGAAAAGTAAAGCTATGCAGCAACAACTCAACATCTACAGAGGTTTCAAAGATATCCAGGACATGATCAACTTCCTCAATAGGTCCACAAATTTATAGACTACAACATGGAATCCCTAAGGATTTCTATAGAATCATACTCCTAATAGTATTAGCCTCAAACAAATCATCAAGTTCAGATAACATCAACAAGGATCCTTATGAGACTTTAGGGATTAGATTTGGTTTTAAAATTAACAATGGGAAAGGAATGGAGTGGTTCTGGACAAGGTATGCAATCCGGAACTAAGTAAGAACATGCAGTATTTAGTTAAGTTACTTGAACACTTCATATACAGTAATGATCTTATGTAGACATGGAAAACCTTACACATTTTTGTAGAATTTGATTAGGCATGACATGAGGGGAAAGAGTTACAGAAAAAGGGAAGGTATTGCATTGGAGCATGTTCAACTCAGACTTAAGTCTAGGTTAGTACATGAATACAAAGATGATCATGCTTCTTTTTTTACAAGTTATCACTTAGTTAGGGCATAGTAACTAGGTCCTTTTAAAAGATAAAATGCATGCCATATTTTCAAAGTTGAATGATAACCCTAAAGATAAGAGATAGGAGATATGATATCAAGTAAGCATGCTGTTGAGGTTGTTGACTAATCAAGAAAAACAGTTAAGTTTAGTCTAACCAATTATCAGTCTTTACAACAAAGAGAAAGAAGCTGAATCATGATCACATTATGAGGAAAGATAACTTAGCCTTAACAGATGTGTACAATAGGATTACTGGGAGAAGAGAGGAGAGGTTTAGTTCAAACAAGATTAGGTCAACAGAAACAACAAGCAACTAAACAAAATGAAAGACCATAGTGGCAACTCAGAAACAATCTAACAGACATAAGTAGAGAAGATAGCATTCAAACACTTTGAGTTCCTGCTTAAGGTTAAAGTATATAGTATATAAACTTAACACCTTTAGATTCATCTTACTCATAGTTATCAGATAATAAGTTCAACGTCAAAAACTCAAAAAAGTTACAGAGATGCAACATATAAGGATAAAGGTTACTGCAGGCCAATAAAAGCTTTGAGGTTCATGCGAACATGAATATATAATAACTTAAACATGTAGACTGTTGGAAACTCAGAAACAATGATCAACATGAATCAATTGATGGTTTGATCAGTCATTGATTAAGGACTCAAAGCAAGATAACTATTCACAAGCAGATATTTAGCTGACAAAACATAAACATTAACATACTGAACATGATAAAACAATTATAGTACTCAGAACCTAACTAGCATGCTTGTAGCATTCAAAGAAAATAAACAAAAGAGAAGAATGATTGTGCTGACCTTTTTGAGAGCAACAGACCGAACAAGAGCTCTTTTCAGTTGCTTAAAACCCCAGAAACCTCAAGTTTAGACAAACAATAGTACTCAGCAAAAGGAAAGAAAATAGTAAGAAAACCTAAGGCCTGAAATCCTAAACTTCTTAAGTGTTTGTGTATGTGTTTCTCTTAGGTGTTTGGTGGTTGGTTTGTGATGTTAGGTGAGAATATTAAAGGCTTCTATTTATAGTGACATTTAAGGTTCTAGGGTTTCAAAGAATTCAAATCAGATAGTGGAAGGTGACGATTGCCAGATGATGTGAGCACTATTGAGTGAAATTGAAAGAGAACAGAGGGAAAATCAGTAATGGTTTTTATCTGAGAGGAGAGAAGTTGATCGTTGAAGGCAAGGACCTTCGGATAAAGCTTCAATGTCTAGAGGTCACTGCGTTTGACCTATGGACCTCGAATAACCATGATTAAATTCTGAGATATGCTCATGCATGCCATAGATTTAACAAAACAGAGGTAATTTTAGAGATTTGACCCTTGCATGATTTGGTCTAGGGTTTTCAGATTTGGGGTTTTGAATATCTATCAACGAAAAATGAAAGAAAACAATCTTCATCATAACCCAGAGACAAAACGTGATTTTCTGAGTTTAATTTGAAAGAAAAGACGGAATGGTGTTTCAAGTTTGAGAGATTGGACTCTGAATAAAAGGGAAATAACAGTGGGATTCTAGCTAAGGAAGCAAAAAGGGGTGATTTGATGAGAGCTTACACGACCTTGCACGGATTTGTGCAAGGTTTTGTTGACTGATGTTCATGGTGGTCTGAGAGAATGAGGACGAAAGAGGAAAGGGGAGGCGGTTGTGAAAGATACAAATGAATTAGGGTCTCGGGTGTTAAACCTGTTGGTCTCTAGGTTAAGAATTAGGGAATCATTTTGGGCCGTTGATCTTCTAGACCGACGGTCCTGATATTTAGGGATTTAACACTTTTGTGGGGAATTTTGGTGTCCGTTGGATCCCTGTGATCCAACGGTTAGGATTAAATACTCTGAGTGTTTAGGAATTAAAGAGAAAATGGAGTGAAAATCATGGGCCATTGATCATAGAAATGAACGGCCCAGATGACTTGTGTTTGTTCTGTGAGTGATAAGGACAGATGACGTGGTGTGCTCTCATTGGCTAAGAGAGGGTGGTGGGGATCGCCAACTTTGAATGAGATGGGGCGTTTGGACTGGGTCAGGTCCGGATTGGGCCTTGTATTTGGGCTAAACAATATAACTAATAACCACTTTGTGATTAATTAAGGAATTGCAATCGTAGCCTTTTAGTCTTTATCCCTTTTGAAATTTATTTAAATAAACTTAATTATTTCAATAAAATGTAGTAAAAATTATATTTGTTAAATACTACTAATTACTGTAATTAATTAATTATTTATAAAAAAAATACTTTATTAGGACATTAATTTTGAATTATTGAAATAGTTAACTAATTAACTAAAAATTTAAGAAATAATTTATTGAATTAATTATAAAACCTTTGTATAGAAATTATTTTAATAATCCTAAAATAGTAAATATGTTTGTAATTACATAATACTAATACTAAGTAATTAATTTCAAAAACTACTACCGAGTTAATTTGTAGAAATAGGTATTTATTCATATAAAATATTTATTATAAATTATTAAGTATAAATAAATAAATTTTAAAAGGGAGGGTCAAAATTGGCTGTTAACAACTGCCCCTCTTTGACCGGAGACGATGAAAGAGTTTTCGGGCATAGAAATTGAACCAAAGTCAATTTTGTCCCGACTTTTAGGCAAGTATTGTAGGAAATGGGGATGGTGAATTGCAGGATTGAATTGAGGAAGAATCTAGAAAAATTTCGGGAATATCGGGCCGAATTCTGGCTTTGAATTGCTTACATACCTTGGGCTTAACGAGGATTGGGCCTTATGTAGTTTTGGAGTAGGGACTTTGGGGAAGCGACACTCGCAGGAATCGTCCCAGTATCGTATTACGACGGTACGACAAGACGGAGGATTGGCCACTCATGGTAGCTTGAATTTTGCGGCCTGATTTGAATGATTCAAAATTTTGAGCTCGCTGATCGTCTTGAGCTGGGATCTTAAGCCCTTTACTGGGCTGGCTATCCCCATAGCATTGTAGTTCAGTCTGCTGCTAAGAAAAATTTCCACGCTGCGGTTTTTGTCCCTGAAAAAAATGAAATACACGCATACCAATATATTGTAATGCAAAATATATTAAGATGCGATGTAATGATGCAGGAATGATGATGCCTGGCTGCCGGCGAGCTGTTATTTGGGATTGGGATGATGGGACACTTGATCCTAACTCGATTTGTTTGTCGGGCTGTGTATTGTTCCGCAGCTGTCGAAGCATTTGATAATTGTTTCCGCCAATTGGGAGAGCTTGATTTGTAGAGTGTGTCTCCGTTTGTTGGGAGAGCTTTGCACTGAGAAATGTCTCCGCTTGTTGGGAGAGCTTGATTTGTAAAGTGCATCTCCACTTGTTAGGATAGCTTTGCACTGAAATGTAAAGTAATCTCCACTTGGGAGTGATTGATTAAAACCTTAATCATGCCTAAAGCTGCACGAACAAAACGTTAAAACATTCAAAGTAATAGCAAATGAAACAAAAAGCATGCTCAAGAGATACTCTTGACTGCGAAGCTAGGTTACGGCCATCGATTGGCAGAACGTTGGTGACGAGGTTTGCGATTGTCTATTCTGGTGTCCGCGATGATAGAGCAGTGCTGCGAATTGACTTTGTTGGTGAAGTTTGCAGTTTGCTAAGGCTCATGATAAAATGATGTCTGTTTGATGCTGCTGTCTCTATGGGTCCAATCACATCCATGCCCCAAGTGGCGAACGACCTAGGTGAACCCATTACATTTATCTCATTTGATGGAACCCGGATGAAGTCTTTGTGAATCTGGCACTGGTGACACTTCTGCATGTAGCGGATACTATCGCTTTCCATAGTCATCCAAAAGTATCCAGCTCTCAAAATTCTCTTGGCTAATGTGAACCCGTTCATATGGGGTCCGCATGTCCCTAAATGTATTTCTTCCAACATTCTGGTTGCTTCAGCAGCGTCTACACATCTCAGCAAACCTAAGTCTGGGGTCCTCCTGTACAAGACTTCCCCGTTGAGGAAAAAGTGGTTTGCCAACCTCCTGAGGGCTCGCTTTTGACCATTAGTAGCATTCCCTAGGTACTCCTGGGTTGCAAGGAATTTCTTGATGTCGTGATACCATGGTTTACCATCGGGTTCTTCATCTACATGGAAGCAATAGGCATGTTGATCCCTGATCTCTATCTCGATAGGGTCGATGTAGTTCTTGTCTGGATGCTGAATCATGGATGATAGGGTCGCAAGGGCATCAACGAACTCGTTCTGAATCCTGGGGACATTCTTGAACTCAATCTTTGTGAACTTCTTGCACAACTCTTTCACGCAGTGCAGGTATGGAAGTATCTTCACATTCTGGTGGACCATTCTCCTTGGACTTGGTGTATCAGCAAATCGAAATCTCCAAAGACCAAATGTTCTTTGATGTTCATGTTGACTGCCATTCTGATTCCACGGATGCACGCTTCGTATTCAACCATATTATTGGTACAAGGGAATCTTATCTTTGTCGATGTTGGATAGTGTTGTCTAGATTCCAAAATCAAGACTACCCCAATTCTGACTCCTTTAAAATTTGCTGCTCCATCAAAAAACATTCTCTACCCAGGGTATGTTTCTGTAATATCCTCCCCGGCAAATAGTACTTTCTCATCGGGGAAATACGTGGTAAGCGGTTCGTAATCTCCATCCACTTGATTCTCGGCGAGGTGGTTAGCTAAAGCTTGTCCTTTCATGGCCTTCTGAGTTATGTACACAATGTCAAATTCACTGAGGAGAATTTGCCATTTAGCTAGCTTTCCGGTAGGCATTGGCTTCTGAATAATGTACTTGAGTGGGTCGAGCCGAGATATTAGATGCGTAGTGTATGCCGACATGTAATGCCTTAGCTTCTAAGCAATCCAAGTCAGAGCACAAATGCGTTCTATCGAGGTATACTTGGCCTCGCTTGGCGTGAACTTCTTGCTTAAGTAGTAGATGGCCTGCCCCTTTTTCCCAGTTTCGTAATGCTACTCCAACACACAGCCGAAGGCGTTATCCAAGACTGACAAATATAGTAACAACGACTTCCCTAGTTCGGGGGGAACAAACACTGGTGGATTTGACAGATACTCCTTGATTTTGTAGAAGGCTTTCTGACACTCTTCTGTCCATTTTGTGGCAGCATCTTTCCTCAGCAACTTAAAAATGGGTTCACAGATTACCGTGGACTGGGCTATGAAGTGGCTGATGTAATTTAATCTACCCAGGAAACTCATGACATCTTTCTTGCTCTTCAGTGATGGTAATTCCTGAACGACCTTGATTTTTGATGGGTCCAGTTCTATCCCTTTCCTGCTTGGGTCGAGCCGAGATATCAGATGCGTAGTGTATGCCGACATGTAATGCCTTAGCTTCTGAGCAATCCAAGTCAGAGCACAAATGCGTTCTATCAAGGTATACTTGGCCTCGCATGGCGTGAACTTCTTGCTTAAGTAGTAGATGCCCTGCCCTTTTCTCCCAGTTTCATCATGCTGCCCCAACACACAGCCGAAGGCGTTATCCAAGACTGACAAATATAGTAACAACGACTTCCCTAGTTTGGGGGGAACCAATACTAGTAGATTTGACAGATACTCCTTGATTCTGTCGAAGGCATTCTGACACTCTTCTGTCCATTTTGTGGAAGAATCTTTCCTCAGCAACTTGAAAATGGGTTCACAGATTACCGTGGACTGGACTATGAAGCGGCTGATGTAATTCAATCTACCCAGGAAATTCATGACATCTTTCTTGCTCTTCAGTGATGGTAATTCCTGAATGGCCTTGATTTTTGATGGGTCCAGTTCTATCCCTTTCTTGCTTACAATGAAACCCAATAGTTTCCCAGTGGGGACTCCGAACGCACACTTTGCTGGGTTCAACTTCAAACTGTACCATCGCAGGCGTTCAAAAAATTTCCTCAACTCGTCCAAATGCTCGGAACTCTTTCAAGATTTTATGATGAAATCATCCACATACACTTCAGTCTCCTTATGAATCATATCGTGAAAGAGGATGGTCATGGCCCTCATGTAGGTGGAGCCGCCGTTCTTGAGACCGAACGACATAACTCTATAACAGTAGAATCCCCAAGATGTGGTGAAAGATGTCTTCTCTGCGTCTTCCTCGTGCATTACGATTTGATAGTATCCAGCGAAACAATCCACAAATGACTGCAGTTCATGCTTCGCGCAATTATCAATGAGGATGTGGATATTTGGCAGGGGGAAATTCTTTTTTGGACTAGGTTTGTTGAGATCTCGGTAGTCCACACATATTCTGATCTTTCTGTCCTTCTTGGGCTCTAGGATGATGTTTGCTAACCAGCTTGGATAGTTGGTGACCCTTACTACATTTGCTTCTATTTGTTTGGTCACTTCCTCCTTTATCCTCAGACTTATATCAGGTTTGAACTTTCTGGGCTTCTGCTTGACCGGCGGTCTGGTAGGGTCAGTGGGCAGTCGATGCGAGACAATGTTAGTGCTTAGTCCTAGCATGTCATCATAGGACCATGCGAATACGTTGACGTACTATCGGAGGAGCTCAATCAATTTTTCATTCTGCTCGGCTTTTAGGTGAATGTTGATTCTAGTTTCCTTTACATCTTTTTTGCTTCCAAGATTGACCGCTTCCAAGATTGACCACTTCCGATTCTTTGAGGTTGGGCTTTTTCTGACTCTCCAGTTGTTCGATCTCCTGTAGGAGATTGTCTGGCATCATACTCTCGTCATATTCCTCGTAATTCGGGTCGTTGCGCTCAGTGGTTTCGTTACATGTCATAATTTTGGAACGCGGTTTTTTATCAGTTTGATTACTGGAAAGAAAAACTAAGAATAAATAAAGAAGTAAAATAAAGTTGCAATATTTAGGAAAATGATTCTTTTTATTTCATCAAAAGGGGAACGTCTTAAGCGTTCACAAGAGGCAAATGACAAAAAGGTACAGACACGGTACATGCCTCAGTTGACCATGCTCTTTTCAAAAGAAATTTCTTTACAGTTCCATACTTCCAAGACTCCCGGCGAACCAAAGATGGACTGGAGTTCCAATTCTGCAGCTGTTCCCTTGGTTCAACATCCCTGATAGTCGGTGTCTTGATGTCAGTTCCTTCACATCATTCTTCAATCATATTCACGAACAGCTTTCCCATCTCATCGATGATATCATCTTCGGGTACTGAACTCTATCCCGGACTTGCAACATGCTCTGGCATAAAGACCTTTTTCCCGGAGCTAACAGTGCGAGCTTTCCCTTCCGGAGGTTAATATCCTATGCCATCCCTCCCTTTCTTCCCATTATATTAAATTGGCTCTGTGATTCCATCTAACATGGCTCCCAAGCATATTCATGGCCTGTATCCGTATTTCATCATCTACCTCATAGCCATCTTGGATATATACGGTGACTACATTCCCAAATTTTGTTCAATCTTCTCCATCTCAGTAGTCTGTATGATATGCACGGCGTGGAAGGCAAGTCCATCCATCCGTTCAATGAACGGGACAATATACTCCAAATAGGTGGAGTGACCCCACTCACCATGAACCACGATCTCTTGGCATCCCTACTCAAATTTTATGCATTGGTGCAAAGTAGACAACACGACCCTTGCCATATGTAGCCAGGGCCTGCCCAACAACAAGTTGTAGGAAGAGGAGATGTCCATCACTTGGAACAACACCGAAATATCGACCGGCCCGATTTGCAAAGCTAGATATATTTCTCCAATAACATCTTTTTGTGAACCATCAAAGGCTCTCACCCTTACGTGGCTTTTCTTGACTTCCCTCAAATGAATTCCTAACTCCCACAAGGTGGAGAGCAGACAAATGTTGACTCCTGACCCTCCATCGACCAGCACCCGGGACACAAATTTGTCCCCGTATTTGACAGTGTTGTGAAGAGCCTTGTTGTGACTTGCGCCTTCGACAAGAAGTTTGTCTCTTCTGAAAGTGATCGTGTTTGCTTCGACCATCTTCCCAATTGTTGCGGCCAATGCCTCACTATTACCCGCTTAGTACTTTTAACAGGGCGTCCTTATGACTGTCAGAGCTCATTAATAGATCTATGATGGATATTTGTGTTGGAGTTTTCTTCAACTGCTCTTCCACAGAATACTCTTTTCTCGACATTCATTTCCAAAACTCAGCAGCTTCTGGATCTGTTATGTTCCTCCTTGGAATTTGTTCTCTCCCCGGATTTCCTCGATTAACATCTTTAGGGGTGTAGCATCTCCCAGACCTAGTCATACCGTGGGCTGCAGCAGAGTCTGTCATTTTGGCCTTTCCATTTTTTGCTGGTATGTCCATGGCACGGTTTTGTAATCCTGATCTTCTTCATCTCGAGTAGCATTGGCAGGTTGCTGCAGATAGGTCTAAACCGTCACTGTAGGCCTTAGTTGTACTGTAATGATCGGAGCCTTTTGAGGAGGGATCCAAGCAGCTTATGCATTTCCTATAATGACAATTGTTCCCTTTAGGTCATATTCTTCATCTAATGTGACCATGTTAGCTCTATGGTTTAGATAATTTGGCAGTGAGTTGCGATTCACATTAGGTGGTGTTTGAGTGCACTAAATGGCTCCACTCTTGATTAGGGTTTCAATTTCATTTTTTACCTTGAAACAATCTCCAGTGTCATGCCCAGGTACATTAGAATGATACACACATCTTTTAGTGGCATCAAAATATTTGGAGGGATGTTCAGGAACCCTTCCCTCAATTGAGTGTATCAATCTTGTTCTTCTCAACCTTTCAAACAATTAGGCCAGAGGCTCAGCAATCAGGGTACAAGTACTAGGACCCCTCTTTTCAATGTTGGGACGAAGGCGTGGTGCATAAGTAGGTTGGTTCTGATGAGTAGTGGTTTGGACATGATCATATGGTCGTTGTGGGTTTTGGTTGTTGTTAGCTCGAGGAGGGTTGTATTGTGGTTGAGGATGGTAATATGGCTGGGTATTACAGACTGGAGCATAAGTGGGTGGTGGTGAGTGGTTTTTTGGGGAATAAGAGGTGCTTCCATGAGGTGGGTTGGGTTGGTAGTAAGGGATGACTGTTGAGACCTCCTCTTTCTTCTTCTTTTGGGCTACCGATTGACCCTGACTGGATGGCCTTGCTGGCTACTTCTAGTGCTACCATGGATTGTACTTTACTAGATTTTATGCTCTCTTCTGAGAAATCTCCCATCTTGACGATCTCAGGGAAATTTTGACCCATCATTCCTATCATCTTTTCAAAGTATATTCCCTCCTGGGCTCTAATGAAATACTTGGTTAGTACACTGTCATCCAGCAGAGGTTGCGCCCTGGAAACCTCCGACCTCCACCGTCGTGCATATTCTTGAAATGACTCAGATGGTTTTTTCTGCAAGTTCACCAGTGCAAACCGATCAGGAGTGATCTCTGTATTGAATCGAAAACGATTCATGAAGTCCTCCTCCATATCTTGCCAAGTTCTCCAATTTCGCGGATCTTGTCGAGTATACCAGGTGAGTGCTTCTTCCATCAAACTTCTTATAAATAACTTCATCCTTGGCTTCACGTTCCCCCCCACTCCGACTAACTTATCACAATACGCCCTCAGATGTGCATGAGGGTCCCCCGTCCCATCGAAGATATCAAACTTTGGGGGTTTGTACCCTGTTGGCATATCCATATCTGGATGAATACACAGGTCCTCATAGTCCAACTTTTGCTTCCTCGGTCAACTTGGAGACTCTTCATTTGCCTTCTCAACATTTGTAACTGCTAAGATACTGATTCTTCTTACTTACGACTGACTTGTCTCTTCATCTCGGCATATTGGTCAATCTCATAAGGCACCCTGACTGTGACAGGTGCTGTAAAGGTAGGTTCAGAAATGGAATATATAGGAGGAACGTACCACTTATGGGTGGCAGCATGTGCCACAGGTATGTGCTGGTTAGTGGTGAAAGTGACTCCATCACGAGGAGGGGTAGTTGCATTAGTGGTAATAGGCGGGTTCTGTGATGTCTGAGTGTACTGTGGTACATAAGGAGTGTGAATAGGGGGATTTGGTGGGTTAGCGGGGGTTACTGGATGTGTGACTTGAGTGGTGGGAGTTGAAGTTGGGGTGTTGTTATTTTGGCTTTATGTGGAGGGAAAGTATCTGGTAGTGAATTTAAAGAAGGGAATCTAGGTGGCTGAGGAAGTGTTGTCACAGCTAGGTTCGCCAGTTCTCTGATATGCTGCACCTCCTCCTTTAAGGACTCCATTTTGTGGGCCATCCTGCCCATGTGTTCATCATTCCTAGTGCTGTCGTTTTCCCCCGATCGCCTCAGACTGTCGGGTATGACCAGAGCATGTTCAGTTGTGTCTTTTGTGGCTGACATCTTTCCCTTTGACATTAGATTATATGGTGGCTCCGCCAGTTTTGGTCGAAAAATCCAACTTTCTTTTCTTTTTTGGGGTTATAATAAAGCAAAAGAAATTAAGCAGAAAGAAAAGAAAAGGAGCAAAAGCCAGTTTTTTTATTTATATGAGCAAGAAATCACACAGAGCAGATAATTCGTGCATTACAACTAGTGCATTCCTAGAATTCGCGGGGACCTCTCACTACCAGGGGTAGGCCTAATTCGCGGATTATTTGACAAACATTTAGACTTGACACATTTAGATCCGAAACAATTTTTTTTTCATTGATAATTTGGACTGATACAAGTGGGAACAAGGGTTACATCATTGTTTCATAGAACTGTATGGGCTTGGACAACTTGCCCTTTTGGAAAGTAAAAGAGAAAACTAGGGATAAAGATACAAAGTATGAAAGAGGGGAAATTAACCAACTATAATAACCATCCCCTGAGTCGTTTCCCGTGCCCTTCTCTTCTTTTGGATCCTCTTCCAGATCCTCCTCCGGGTCTTCCTCAAACTCCTCCTCATCATCGTTGAATTCAGACTCCTCCTCCGGATCTTCTTCTGGCTCTGTGCTTGACTCTATCTGGATGCACTCCACTAACCGATCATCATCTTTAGCCAGTGGCAACATGTGGTCAATGGATCCTGGGACCACCTGACGATGCATTGATGTGGTCACAAGATAATACGGTAGGATCTCATGGTAAATCTGCAAAGCAACCATTGCATCCTCTAACCAGGCTGTACCCTCCCTGCTTGGCCGGGCTAGTTCTTCTTTTTCGTTTATCTAGATGTAATACTCGGGATTACATCATGAGTTTTCACCCATAGGCATTGTTACCAGGTCATTCCACTCTTCTTGCAGTCTTCTTATACTGGGAATTGGGATCTGGCCATTGTACTCATCCTCGTATAGTGCCATCCTTGTCCAAAGAGGCACATCTGGATCATCCTGAATTGTCTAAGGACCCGCAGAAGTGAGTATGGTTGAATGCCTTCCAGTCCAATAAAATCAATGAAGTACTTCTGAGGAATCCTCAAGATTGCCCTTCCACCTAACCAAGAGATTTTCCAGTTGATCCATTCTCCTGTCAGATTAGTCAGCGTTTCCCTCCATTCTTCTTGTCTATGTGGGGAGATCTAGTGTCTCATTCTTTCATTGTGGATGCGGATCATCTTGCTGACACCCACGAAGTAGTCAATGGTGGCCTCTCACTGGAAGAAGTGTTCAGTAGCCCAGATCTGAAGCAGCAAGTTACAACCCTTAAAGAAATCATACCCTCGTGCACATGCAGACAAAGCTCTCAACATCTCAGCTAACACCATCGGCACCACAGTAGCTTGAAGATAGCCACGTAAGGTTGCTAGGACCACTGGTAACAGGTTGATGTTGATCCGGCCCCTTCATTATGGGAAGACCAATAATCCCAACAGAGCCATTGCGAAAGTGATAGGCCTGAGACTCTCCCACATCGCCCGGTCACATTGAAACTCCCCTGAATACCATTTATAGCTTTCGCAGTGCCCAAATCTGTCGAACATCTGGTCGAGGCTCACCTATCCATCCTTGATACTTTTGAGGCTTCTGTTGTTGGCAAGACCTAAGGAATCCAAGAACCGATAATCAAGCATAGTAACTGGCAATACTTGATTTCTTCTATTGAACGGAAGCTCCGTGAAACTTGTGACTTCTTCCAATGTCGGTACTAACTCACAGTCGGCAAATTTGAATACCACCTTAGCCGGATCCTAAAATTCTATCAACAGGCGAGTGAGCACCCTATCTGCTCGGATGTTTATCAATGCAGTTAATGCCCCCAAGTGAGTCTGAACCTCATCTCCGTGTTCCCGACGAATATTCTTCCACCACTGTTTCAACGTATGTGTTGCTCCCATTACCATGCTAATTTCAGGGATATTTTGGTTGATTTCCATTTTCAATGGTGGGTAAAAGAAAGATATTTTGGTAAGTGTTTGCTTCAGATCCTTAAGTGTCTTGTCATGTTTGTTTGTCTTTCTACAGAAATTATATCGTTGTGTGCATGACCCGTTGACATCAAGGTGGGTTTCCTAATTGTGTGTCGGTACCGAGGGCCGACTCACCTAAGGTTTATTCAGTATGACCTATTTTACTAGAGTAGAGTGTTTCCAACTTTTGAATTAGACCGAAGGCTGCGACAAGTTATGTCAGTTGACCTGACAAAGACATTCTCTGAAACTAGAGAGTTTTGAAAAGAAGGTTCGGAGGGGTGTAAAAGACAACCCTCGCGTGCCATTGTATGTGATAGTGTACGGCCAAGAATCGATTGGAAGAAATGTGATGACAGTGTGTATGAAGCAGTAACAAACAAAGGTGTAGCAGCAATAAGCATGTTGATCATAAAGAGCAAATAATTATAAAGACAAAATAAAGCAAGTAAGCATGTAATTTCAATTTCAACTATAATCAAAGCAAGGTATAAATCTAGAGGCCAAATTTGTCTAAGTCTGCTAAGGTCAAAATCTAAGTGTGATATCCCGAGCAGAGTCACCATGTTGTTGCACCCTATTTTGCACTAATCAAGACAGGATTCAACTTGTGGTTTCTCTGTTGTCGATGA